TTTAATATTCAGAATGTAATCTTTGGAGAGTTACCTTTGTCAAATTCAAACTATGTCATAAATTTTGTAATTTTATATGCTAAACAGTACATTTTTTACTGCTTAAAAAATGTAAAGAAGCCTAATTTAAATGGGCTGATTGCCCATTTAAAAATGTATTATAAGGTTGAGAAGTACATATCTGTTAAAAATCTAACTGCAGAAAATTTTGAGTCTACATGGTCACATTGGAAAACTATGTTGGAAATGTAAATCCTCTGAAAAAAAAAAAAACATATTTAGATCAAATGTAGCATACTTTTTCTGTCTCCTGTTTTATCCATATAAAGTGTGTAAAAATTTGCTAAAATTGATGTATTGTTGATATAAGTATGAGTGAAGTGCGAAAGTGGGTGGGTGTGAAAAAATTTCTGTGCAAATTTTGATAAATGTATTTGATGTTTGTGTTGAAAGCATGGAAATAAAGCATTTAAAAAAAAAAAAAAAAAATAATGGAAAAGTACAACCGGTATTTTACTCATTTTTTTGCTATCAAATTCCCAACCAGTGAATATTTTCCAGGCAGCATGCTCCTACTGTCAATAAATCTCCATAATTTTCTCCATTTTGCAGTACTTCCTGACTTATTTACTTCCAAAAACGATCGTTTTTTTCCTAATCCGAATTCCCTCCATTCCTCCGTTTATTGTACATACATGCAGATATCTCATTAAATTATTTACGATCACTCAACCAAAAGAAAGATCAGTGTGATTCACATGAAATATATTTAAGGATTTAATATGAAAACAAAATGAATTTATTTTCATTCTAAATGAGCTAGTGCAAAATAATCAGAAAAGGAAAGATCTTCAGATAATTTTTTTAAATTCATTTTTATTTTCTGTCATAATCATTAATTTTATATGATATATTTTATATGATTTAATTTTAATAGTGAGAATAAAATTTTAATTTTCAAAAGAATGACCTTAGTACTCTGACTTTTTCAATGATTAATTTTTTTTTCAACATTAGTTTTATTAGCCGGGCTTATTGCTCAAAGAGCAATTGCCGGCTTATGTGATCCTGTTCAAGGCAGGATGTTAACCCAATAGTCGCCATTTTAAAGTTACGTGCAAAAATACAGTTCTTACTCTCAACCGCTTTTGAGATAATACAAACGCTAAATAAAGCAACAAAAATAAAACAGAGTTTTATCTTTATAATATAAACATTTGTAGTAATGACTTTGAAAACTTCATAAGTCAAAGAACATAATTCATTAGCGTAAGGATTTTTGATAATCAGTGTTAACTTAGTTCTCTACACATACGAGGTAAAGCAGGAGAGGGAACCAGACTGGCCTGTTTCTTTACATTCAGCTGCGGTACCAGATTAATTCTGATTCTGACAAAATCGGACCGTGGTATTAAGGATTGAAAAACTCACTGTCAGTGTCTTATCATTTCTATTGATAGTTTTAAAATAATTTTTTCATCAGAATATAAACGTGATTCATGTAAGAAATCCATTCTACTCTGTAAATGAGCCCGGCTCTCTGTACTTCTGAGTACTTTGATTTTAATTTTTGTCCCTATATTTGGGCTAGTAACTTCATTGCTGCCACTAGCCCGTGGGCTAGTACTTGAATTTTTAAATTGCATAACCCTGGTAGTATATTTCTATTGTATCACCACCTTTTATTTATTTATTTTTTTTTTAAATCTGAATACGTTTTCTTTAACCTTATGAATAGTTTCGTTCTTAAATTGTATCGTATTGAAAAAATTGAATTGTGACACAAGTATTGCAATACGTATCGTATCGTGGAGGGGGCGTATCGTTTCAGCCCTAATATCCTCTGAAAATCCACTAGGCTAATTTTAACCAAACTTGGTACAAAGCATCCCTGGGTTCAATTTAAGGGCTGTAAGGGTACATATATTTAATAAAAGTATTTCCTTCAACCTAGCAAATCGTTTTTAGTCACAGTGATAAGTAATCTTTGGTTTTTATAATTAAGACATAAAAAATATAAAAGGCAATGTCATGTTAGAAATATATATACCGTATAATCCCTATTAACCGCCCCTGCCCCTATAAGCGCCCCCTTATGTCTTTTTCAATTGTCAGGAAATAAGGGCCCCCTGTACAGTGCTTAAAATCATCTAGGATCGTATTTATAAGTCTGCCAAAATTTGAAGAAATTGAAAATGAAACCTGTCTATAATCCAATCTCGGTAGAAAATGAATCCTTTAGCTGAATTTGGGTGGATTATCTTCACCCAAAATTTGAAGAAATTGAAAATGAAACCTGTCTATAATCCAATCTCGGTAGAAAATGAATCCTTTAGCTGAATTTGGGTGGATTATCTTCACTTAAAGTAAAGTTAAACATTATTTTAGTGGTTCTTTGAGTTTATTTCTTTTTTCGAAGATTTTTTGAAGTTACGAGGGTTGTTCGAAAAGTTCGTGGACGATGTCAATCTTCGTTATATTACTCACTGGAAATTTGAAACAAGCACATTATAATATGTAAAAATATTTGTTTAGTTGATGTGTGAAGTTTCATTTCATTCGATTTAACACAAATAAATTAAATTCATTTTAAAATCAACATGTTTTGTACCCGCGGAGCACCCATAACGGCAATGTAACGTCAACACATAGCGTCGAGAATTTATAAAAGAAAATATACCTATACATTTCACACAGAATATTCCAATGCCCAATCATTAAATTCTATTTCTAATACTTGACATTTAGTTTTTGAGAATTGATCTCATTGCAAAATTTCCTTTGTTAAGGTTTTAATTTCTTTTAGTACTTAACTCTGCTATCACAGGATAAGTAACTCTGAAGCGCTTTTGTCTTTCATTTACGTTTCAAATTTTAAAGTTTTGTTCAGATTTTGACAGTAAAACCGTTTCTTCACAGGTCATTCTCATCCGGTACAGAGTCTCTGTCACTCAAATATTGTCTGCACTATTTGTACACACATGCACAACTCGCTTGTGACATATTTTCCTGATTCCTTTAACATTTTTTAAGTTTATTCAGAATTTTTCCTGAGAAAAACACAAAATTGCTTCGGTATCTGCTGCTCCGTGACGCTCTAAAACGTCATCGTTTTTGTCGTTTTTAATAAGGACTACTTATCTTCTCAAGTTGATTTCTTTTCAACAAAGCAAAATATAAAACCATAATTTGGTACACGTATCGATGTAACAATTCTTAATTTGAATTTCTAGGTAGTTTTTCGTTTTTCCTCCATTTTACAGAGAATATGACTATAGACATTATTTATTGTATTGTCTGTAACTGACTAAATTTTGACCTGCTCCGCGATCCGATTTTTGCATTTTTAAAATCTGGATAAGTTTTTAATCAATAGTAATATTTTGTCAAAATTAATACATATCATTTGAATTTATTGTTAAAATATGTCTACCAAATGTGGATAACATATGACGTCTAATAAAAAAGATATGACAGTTGTCCACGACCCGCACCTCAGATCTCCACATTTTTTCCTTATTCAAAATAAGGAAAAAATGCGGACGGGAGTATTTGGACTAATTTTCCGCATTCATTCCAGATTTTCGTAGATTCAAATTTCCAGATTTTCTCCGTATTCAAAATATGGAGAAAATGTGGATGGGAGTATTTGGACTCTTTTTCCGTATTCTCTCCAGATTTCCGCATTTCCATATATACAAAATATGGAGGTATATACTTGGTTGTTAAAATGCGGAAAAACGGAAATCTGGAGAAAATACGGAGTTAATCACATGGTTATAAATGGCTAATAAAACCGCTACATGATGCATACATACATAAATATTTACAAAACCATCAACATTCAACAATGTGCAAAATTATATACAATTTATTATATCATTATGAGAAAAAAACATATAAATGAATGAACAAAATTACACATTATGTTCATGAGCAATGTATTGGATCTTATATCTTTGACAAACAAATAGGAGCAAGTATGGAAAAAAAACTGGAACTCTTATTTAAGGATATCTGATCCTCAGCCAGGAAGGATAACTCCAAAAATTTATATTTAATTTGAAATGCATCAGAATGAAGCTTGAAAATGAAATTTTTTCATGCAACAATTTTCATTTTATTCATCTTTATAAGATTCAAGGTCTTTGGAAGTCTTAGAAAAGGTCTTAGAAAAGTTGACATTTGTACCCTATAAAAGGAGAAAAAGTTGATACAGTTTTAGAGAAATAAGTTTTTCTTGAATCCAGCCTTAGATACCAATGCTTATTAGCATGATATGAAATGAGAAGTGATTTGTGGTGTCTTGCAATGATAGCAAAAGCCTTTTACACTATGTATTATAGAATACATGATGGAAACAGAAGACAAAAAATATCAAATACGTATAAAATCATGACAATTTCTCTGAATGTCTGGATACCTACTGTTTTTTAACCTAAAATATATTTGTTGATCAATTTGCAATTAGATTGATTGATTGTATGTTGTTTAACGTCACTCTCCAGAATATTTCACTGATATGGAGACGTCACCATTGCCGGTGAAGGGCTGCAAATTTGGGCCTATGCTCGGCACTCAGGGCCATTGAGCAGGGAGGGATCTTTATCGTGCCACACCTGCTGTGACACGGGGCCTCGGTTTATACGGTCTCATCCGAAGGACCGCCCCATTTAGTCGCCTTTTACGACAAGCAAGGGGGTACTGAGGACCTATTCTAACGATTTGCAATTAGAAAATGCATTACTGATATTCCAATTCACTTTTTCTGCAAAAATATTGGAGATTTGACAATTTTTCCTAAACAATATGATTAACTTTAATCTTTAACTTTAAAGAAATATTGTGGATAAACTTACTTAACTTTGTGGATTCAGAGATACTTTTATGAGTATTATTGATTACTTAACTCCTAATTTTGTAAACCTGAGGATCGAACTACCTTAAGCCACAAGTTCATCATGGAAAAAATGTGGCATTTTTTAATATTCATAATAAATAAATGGAAATTTATTCATTCTATTTAAGCAAAAGTGGGAGTGAAATGTTCAACACTATTAGGTATTGGGGAAAAAATAACAATTGACATAGCATTGAATATTTACAAAACAAGAAAAAATTTTAGACATTTTTTATCAATCTGGATCACATTTGCCATTTTCTATCTGCATCCCTGATTCATATTTCTCACAATTCAATTTATATCTCAGGTCTGTGCTTTACACCCATCTGTCCAATAAAAATTTTCTTCAGACTTCTTTGTAATTTGTAAGGTCTCTGCATGTTTAATTTCTTGCAGCAGCACTTGCGGTCGAATTGGCAAATCCTATCAATTAAAAAAAAAAGTACTTAAATTATAATGGTGCAATATTAATAAAATTTAAATTCATTGCTTTTATTCCTTTTAAAATCTTTTTATAAACACAAGTTTGGGTTCTTCAATTTTATATCAATTTGTTTAAAATATCATTTATAATAATGACAATCATAGTTGACTGTTTTTAATTAAACAAGCAATAAAAAAAGAAAAAAAAGAATATATATACCTCAAACATAACCATCCATGGACCAAGCTTTAAGCCCGTTAAAATCGCAGTAAGTTGAATAAGCACTTACTCTTTTTCAGAAATCTCCTCCTCATGCACAGACGCTACCAAAAAAAAAATGTATGGTAAATCATTGCTAGAGATTACAGCCCATGGCTCCCCAAAATTAACACCTTTAATTGTGGTTAACCATAATTTGAATCATGGGCATATTGGCTGAAACGTACGTAGCCTGGTAGCTCAGTCCTAGGCCTAGAGTATTTATTTTCATTCATCACAGTGACACACATGTTAAAAAAAATATGACTGACCTACCGCATATGAAATACGTGTATCTGCATCTTTTGGTTGATACAGCAATACGATCTCAGGCTGTCTGGTCAACAAACTTCTTCCTTTAGACAGAGCAGACGTTGCAACATGGAGGCCAAGGTTAAATTTTGGCGGTCTGTTGTTAAAATTAATTGATCACTGAGCCCGACTTTTTGAAACATTCTTCCGATCCCGATCAAATTGTACATAACATTCAGGAGAAACAGAGAACTGCTGTTAACTCCAAGACAGTTTTTATGCACCCAAATTTTTTTGGGGCGCATATTGTTTTTGTCCTGTCTGTCTGTTTAGCTGTATGTCTGTCTGTTTGTTTGTCTGTTGTCAACTTTAACCTTCGCCATAACTTTTGAACCGTGAGACTTAGAGACTTCATATTTGGTATGGATACTCCACTACAAAAACACTTTCAGCTGACACCAAGGTCAATGACCTTGTGACCTTGACTGTGACCTATATGCTAAAAATAGCTTTTTCGAACTTTCACCATAACTTTTAAACCGTGAGAGATAGAGACTTCATATTTGGTATGCATACTCCACTAATTAGGCACCTTCAACTGACACCAAGGTCAATGACCTTGTGACCTTGACTGTGACCTATATGGTAAATATAGCTTTTTTCGAATTTTCACCATAACTTTTGAACCATAGATGATAGAGACTTAATATTTGGTATGCATACTACACTAATAAAGTGCTTTCAAATGACACCAAGAACAATGATTGTGTGACCTTGACTGAGACCCATTTGCTAAAAATTGCTTTTTAGAACTTAATGTTGCCGCCAGGTGCTACTGTGTCTCACAAACACATCTTGTTCTTGATGAAAAAATTCTAAGTCCAGAGCTCCGTATTTTTTCCAGATGAAAAATATTCTAAGTTAAGAGTTCAATATTTTTCCAGATGAAACACAGACTAAGTCCAATTCTCCGTATTATTTCCGTTTATTTTCCGGATTATTTCCGTATATTTTCTGCTTTTCCGTATTGTTAATTTTCTCCGTATTTTTTTCCACATTTTTTCCATATTAAAATGAGGAAAAAATGCGGAATAATGCGGAAATCTGGAGATCTGAGGTGCGGGGAACTTTTCGAACAACCCTCGTAAAATATGACATTAAATATTATAAAGAGAATACTAAAATAACCGCACCCCTTTTGCAATTTTCTAAGCGCCAGGGGCGGTTAATAGGGATTATAAGGTATTGAAGCATCCAAATAATTTTCAGATTAAAGTAAATTTTATAGTTTGAAATGCATAATCCCTTGATTTAGGCCACAGTGTGATGGAAATAAAGAGGTAAAATAACCACTAAGGTTAATCAGGTGAGCTTTGTAATCCATAGACCTTTTGTTCTTTTACAGTGTTAACATTCATGATGCTGAAAATTTGTACAACACCTACGGGGGAACACCTTCATCAAAGGTATGTTACAGTCTCAGGTCTATACAAGTTTCACACAACTAATTAAATTATAGTATGCACTTCAATTAAAATAAGTCTAATTAGGGATCCTCTGCAAAAACTTCTTGAGCTTTTTCAGAATTATCCCAGGATATTGTATTTTTAGGTCAAAGAGTCACTCAGTGCAATCTTAAAAAATTTTCAAGGGTTCTAGTGATAGGGTGGGACTAAATAGATTATATAGTGAAAATGCATTATTTCTTTGAAAATCTTCTTCTCTGCTCCTGAGTGTTAAACAAAATTAATGTATAGTTATGATGAGCAAGGGTGTCTCTTCCAAATTGCAAATTTTATGGCCACAGGGTTATGAGTTCTGGTGTTAGGGTGGGGCTATATGTAGATTATATAGTGAAAATGGGTAACTTCTTTGAAAATCTCTCTTTTGGGTTTACAACTAACTAACTACATACATAGTTGTGATGAGCAAGGGTGCATCTTTGAAAATTCTTACTTTTGTGGACCCAGGGTCAGGGGTTCTGGTGTTAGGGTGGGGCTCTATTGATTATTTAGTGAAAATTAATGCATTAATTCTTTGAAAATTTTCATCTCTACTCCTGGGTATGAAACAAACTATCTACTTACAAAGTTATAATATGCAAAGATGTCTCTTGTGAATTTCATGGCCCCAGGGTCAAGGTCGCTGGTGTTAGGGAAGGGCTCTATTGATTATTTAGTGAAGATGCATTAATTCTTTGAAAATTTTCAGCTCTGCTGCTCCTGGGTATGAAACAAACCATCTACCGGTACATATGAAGTTATGATAAGTAAAGGTGCCTCATTGAAATTGTGAATATCATGGCCCCTGGGTCAGTGGTTCTGGTGTTTGGACAAGGCTCTATTGATTATAAAGTGAACATGCATTAATTCTCCGAAAATCTTAGGTCGCCCACGTGTCGCAGTGGTCAGAGCGTCTGCCCTAGAGTCGCAGAGTAAGGTGTTTATCCTTACATTACAGTTTGAATCCCACTGTGTGACGTGGAGACTGGTCCTTTGGATGAGATGGTATAAACCAAAGTCCCAGTAAGTGCTGACACGAAAAAAAATCCCTCATTGCTCAATGGCCATTAGTGCCAAGTAAAGGCATATATTTTCAGCTCTCCACTTGCAAGTGGTGGCATCTCCATATGAGTGAAAAAATTCTTGAGAGGGACATAAAACAACACACAATCAATCAATCTGAAAATCTCCAGGGTTTTAAATATACTAACTTCATGCATAGCTATGATGAGCAAGGGTTTTTCTACCAGAATTGTGAATTTCAAGGCCCGTGGGGTCAGGGGTATAATAGGGAAAGTGAAGGTTATGATGAGCAATCGTGTCTCTTAAAATTGTATGTGTCATACACTCTGGTTTAAATCAAGAATCAAATTCAATTGTTGGAAAGTTGTTACTTGATGCTCAGGTGACCTATAAGGCCTGTGGGCCTTTTTTAGCTCACCTGAGCCGAAGGCTCAAGTGAGCTTTTCTGATCACATTTTGTCCGTCGTCCGTCCGTCTGTCTGTCTAGCTGTCTGTCTGTCTGTCCGTCTGTCCGTCTGTAAACTTTTCACATTTTCGACTTCTTCTCAAGAACCACTGGGCCAATTTTGACCAAACTTGGTACAAAGCATCCTTGGGTGAAGGGGAATTTAAATTGTTAAAATGAAGGGACATATCCCCTCGCAAGGGGAGATAATCAAGAAAAGACAAAAATAGGGTGGGGTCATTAAAAAATCTTCTTCTCAAGAACCACTGGGCCAGAAAAGCTGAAACTTATGTGAAAGCATCCTAGGGTAGTGTAGATATTAAATTGTTCAAACCAAGACCCCCGGGGGAAGGTTGGGGCCACAATGGGGAATCAAAGTTTTACATAGAAATATATAGGAAAAATCTTTGAAAATCTTCTTCTCAAGAACTTCTGGGCCAGAAAAGCTGAAACTTATGTGAAAGCATCCTAGGGTAGTGTAGATATTAAATTGTTCAAGTCATGACCCCCGGGGGAAGGGCAGGGGAAGGGCGGGGCCACAATGGGGAGTCAAATTTTTACATAGAAATATATAGGAAAAATCTTTGAAAATCTTCTTCTCAAGAACTACTGGGCCAGAAAAGCTGAAACTTATGTGAAAGCATCCTAGGGTAGTGTAGATATTAAATTGTTCAAGTCATGACCCCCGGGGGAAGGGCGGGGCCACAATGGGGAATCAAAGTTTTACATAGAAATATATAGGAAAAATCTTTGAAAATCTTTTTCTCAAGAACCATTGGACCCGAAAAGCTAAAACTTATGTGAAAGCATCCTAGGGTAGCGTTGATTCTAAATTGTTCAAATCATGACCCCCGGGGAAGGGCGGGGATATAATGGGTAATCAAAGTTTTACATAGATATATATATAGGAAAAATCTTTGAAAATCTTCTTCTCAAGAATTACTGGGCCAGAAAAGTTGAAACTTATGTGGAAGCATCCTGGGATAGTGTAGATTCTAAATTGTAAAAATCATGACCCCCGAGGGAAGGGTGGGGCCACAATGGGGAATCAAAGTTTTACATAGAAATATATAGGAAAAATCTTGGAAAATCTTCTTCTCAAGAACCACTGGGCCAGAAAAGTTGAAACTTATGTGGAAGCATTCTTGGGTAGTGTAGGTTCTAAATTGTTCAAATCATGACCCCCGGGGAAAGAGCGAGGCCACAATGGGGAATCAAAGTTTTACATAGAAATATATAGGAAATATCTTGGAAAATCTTCTTCTCAAGAACCACTGGGCCAGAAAAGCTGAAACTTATGTGGAAGCATCCTGGTATAGTGTAGATTCTAAATTAAATCATGACCCCCGGGGGAAGGGTGGGGCCACAATTGGTAATCAAAGTTTTACATAGAAATATATTGGAAAAATCTTTGAAAATCTTCTTCTCAAGAACCACCAGGCCAGAAAAGTTGAAACTTATGTGGAAGCATTCTTGGGTAATCTAGATTTTAAATTGTTCAAATCATGACCCCCAGGGGAAGGATGGAGCCACAATGGGGGGATCAAAGTTTTACATTAAAATATATAGGAAAAATCTTTGAAAATCTTCTTCTCAAGAACCACTGGGCCAGAAAAGCTGAAACTTATTTGCACATGGAAGGATCCTGGGGTAGTTGATTTCAAAATGTCTTAATTATGATCAGTGGGGTAGGGTGGGGATACATAATGTATTACAAGGGGGAAATCTGGTAAAGAACAGAATGGTCAAAGCTTCTCAGGTGAGCGATGTGGCCCATGGACCTCTTGTTTGTTTTAGAAACCCTACAATGCCATATAAGTGCTTAGTTTTGTGTGAGATTATCTCTACTTGAGCAGTACACTCTTGTCTTACATTCATTTTCCTAGACAAGTCTGTCCCACATTTCATCTGTCCTTATTTAATTCTTTCTGTGAGTGTTCTTTGGTAGCACCTGCAATCTCCCAATATCTACTAGCTGTGCAATTCTCTGTCCCACAGTCATTTTGGAATCCATGAAACACCTTCCTCAAATAATCTTCATAGATTTGAAAATATTCATGCAGTCATCTTCATCACCAGGTTTAACTTCAGGATGAATATCACCTATTCTTTAGTTGTATCTATTTCTTCTTCCTTACTTTTAATATTACCATCACTGAAATCATCTTCTGTTGCTGTCATTTTGTTTCAGTTGGACAAAACATGCTCTACTTTTATAAATTTCTTTGTTTCATGGCAAATTTTCCCTCTCATAAGTAGTATCTAGTTTCACTTTACATTGCACTTGAGGAGTGGAAATATACCTGATCTTTATCCTATAAAAATTTTACTCATACCCATATACTTTCTTTCGTAGAATGCTAAACAGAAAAAAATGGAATAACCTGAGAAATATTACACCTGCAGGCATAATGCTTTAAAAAATTTGTGAAATGGAAATGAGACTGAAATTATTTAAAATATACCACAGTTCTGATTTCAAAAGGACATAATGCACAAGTACACTTCACGAAGATGTGGAATACTATGTATCACCTTATCAGATTTAAACATACAATGTTGCTATAATTAAAATCACCTTTTAAATTTTTTTTTTTCTTTAACAGGGGACAGCAGCTCAGAAAAGACAACTGACACCTGAAAATCCTACAATAAAGAGATTTCAGAATAATATTCGTAGTCCAGTTGTGCCTTTTTCACCTGCAAGTTTTTCACCAGTTGGGTAAGACTTAACCAGCCTCTGCTGGGTATACCCTTTGTTGGGTCACCTGAGTCACTAGCTGTTCTTGTTCATTGTCTTCTGTAGGTCAGACACTAACATGTTAACATTGTTACCTTACCTAAGCTGAAAGCAATAATGAGCTTTTTGAAAATCCATTTCAACGATTCTGTCACATTGATTTGCAACTTTGTCTTGTAAGAAAATTAGGAATAAATATTACATTCAAATATTAATTTAAGAGCAATACTGTGAAATCACAAATTTTCATGGGGGTTTAATTTTCATTGTTTTCGAGGTATGAAGAGACCTATGAAATCGTCCACCAAAATGTTACATAACTAGTAAACAATTCTTCATCCAAGAAATCAAATCCCGTGAATCAATATTTTTTCCTCAAACCATGAAAATTTGACCCCATGAAAATATGTGATTTTACAGTAAGTGCTCATCATACCAAAAAGAAATGAGAAGGGCCCGTTAAACTGGATTTTATAGATGATGATGAAGATCCATAAAGCAATTGAAAGTTAACTAACCAAAGAGTTGAACCATTAGACAAAATAAAATTTTTAGCCAACTGTACAGAAAATATAGGATTGATTGAACAAGAAATCTGGTCATTATGGACAGTTGTGGATGTGAAGTCGAGAAAATCGAGAAGTCGAGAACTTGTCAAAATCTGTCCATCCTGTTAGCAAGACTAGATAAAAGTGTCTGGACTGATTACGTTCAAGAAAACATCAGTCCGAATGACTGCACATTTATGATAATAATTATTATTATATACCTAAGCCAGGTAAAATTAATCTTTAGATTCTCATCCTAATTTGCTAAAAAATTGGGGCGGGTGGGCGGATTTTATTTTTTATTTTTTATAATTGTTAATTTATATATAGGCCTAAGTATCAACAAAACAATGGACGCCACATACACATTTTTTTTTCATTACCTTAATGCAAATATGAATAAATTTAATTCTTTTCATATTCTTTTAAATTTTTAAAGAAAATTTTTGCTTTAAAAATTAAATATTTATTGTTAATTAACAAGTTATTAAGTACACATTATACGGCACACCCTGAACAAAATGAGGTAGGGATGCGTGACTTTTTATTTTGCAAAATCTATATAAGGCCATATAAAATTGAAATCTTGGTTCTCAGGCCCGCGCGCATCCGTTTTGAGGTAGCCGCATTGCCGATTTTATTGTATTTTTATACACCCGTCTTAAGACGGGACGTATTATGTTATAGGCTTCATGTCCGTCTGTCTGTCCGTCTGTCCGTCCGTCCGTCTGTTAGCTTTTCTCGTGTCCGGCTCATAACTTGAGTACTATAAGGCCTAGAGTTATCAAACTTTGTCAGCTGATACATCTTGGGTAGAAGGTGTGTCGTGCACAAAAAGTAGGTCGCTCTGACCTATAATTAAAAAGTTATAGCCAAATATGGAAAAATCCTGTCCGGTCCATAACTAGAAAACTATTAGACTTAGAATCATCAAACTTGGCCACTTCATGCATCTTAGGTAGAGGGTGTGTCACGACCTATTTCAAGGTCACTGTGACCTTTAATTTAAGTGAAATTTAAAAAAAAAAATGTCTTGTTTTCTCTTCATTTACACACTCCAAAAAATGTAAAAGTATTGCACTATTCTTATTAGAAAAATGTTAAATCAAGAAAATACTTATTTTTTTAAGCATATACTTGACAGCAATCTATAACAAATGTAATGTATGTTAAAGAAATTCCACCACTCCCATGAGTTTAATTATCAAGCACTGGTCAAGAAGAATTTTGATAACAGAAAATTGCATGTCAAATTAGAGAAATTAATGAGTTTAGTGTGAGGAAATCCATCGATGCTATCCATATCCCTTGAGTATTGGGTCAAATGGGTAATCCTGTTGGATTAAAAATAGCTATTGTTGGCTAGCATAAGTTTTAAAATGAATTTGATGAGAAACAAATAAAACTAATTTGAATTTGCATAATAAACTATTTTGATATTACATAATATTATGAACTTTTAAAAAAATAATTTTATGGGGGTGGGGTGGAATCAGCATGTCCATATGAATTGCATATTAAAACCTGTCTGCCATTAAATCTAACAAAAAAATCATTGAGGTTTTATATGTTTTAAAAATGCTTTATGGTAGATAGTGCAGATCCAATAATCTCTTGGGAGTAATGAGTGGACAAGCATCCAGTTAAAGATTAATTAATGTGTTCAATGTAGCAAGGCTATAGTTGTCTCAATCATTTCTTCAGAGCATTATCTTAATTAACTGACAGTGCATCCTTTGGGAATTAGACAGAAGAACTGTTGGTCAGTTTATATTTGATGGCCAGCCTTTTATTTTCAAAATTAAATAGATTAAGTTGTTAAGACTAATTTGATATTGTTTAATATGATAGGCATTTGGCAAGGTCTAACACAACCAGTATAGAAATCTATGAATGATGCAGTATATGTTATAATTAATGCCTACACCACTGGAGATGGATATACACACCTTTTTTAAGGAGTTGAAAAATCATGGAAATCTTAAAATCAAGGTTGACATGATTTTCTTGCACTTTTAATTGTTTAAGGTAATTGTAATTTTTTGACGGGCGTATCATGCTGTGGCGTGGCACTTTATTGATAAAATAAAAAGTTGGTATTGCGGAGACCAATCCGGGAAAAAAATTTCCGACCTCGTTTGTTTCGTAGTTTAATATTCAAATATCACTTCCGGTAGCCATTTACAATGAGATTTTGACTACTTCGTTTGAAAATACATTCGAGGACATTACCTACGATGTTTACACGCTGTTAAGCAATGGATAAAGCAGAAATTTTGACTAGAAATGGAAAGTATATCTGTGATTTAAAAAATTATCTTTATGTTAAAGAAAATCGGAAATTAGAATTAAAAAAAATACCTCCCTCATCTAATTTATTGCCAATAAAATGAAAAATAAAATGCCGCCCTCCCGCATCTGTTTTGGAGAAAATTGGCCTGAGAACCAAGGAATTAAATTTAGATAGCCTAAATGTTCTAATAATTATTCTACTGAAAAATCTAGGCCTTCTCATAAGTCTGTCTACGATGTTGTAGATTTTGTTTATTTCAAAGCAAAGTCACACAGCTGGAGATCGTTATATATAACTTGACCAGGTGTCATTTTACTCGTCTATTTTTACTTAGTTACAATCTCTCTACATACTCGCTCCTGCCAGTGATGGTATCTATATGTGTTTATGCTATTTTTTCTTCTCTGCCTTCTCTATACTGACAAATTATCTTTTCCTTACACATTTATTGCCGATTTTTCTCCATTCTTCACATGGCGTTTTTGCTATTAATAGCGACACGCGACTTTTAATACAGACGGGAGATAACTCTTAAACTTGGAACCAAATTCTTACTGAATAAAAATACATGAAAATACCCAAAAATCAAAATAAAAAACATTGGGGCGGGACATTTTGAGAGGGTCGGGCGGGGATGAGAATCTAAAGATTAATTTTATATGGCCTAATGTGTATCACTCAATTTTACTGTAGAATTAACGCAATCACGTGACGTCGTGATCCGACTTTCCGGATCACCACACTGTGGTTTTCTGAATCCATATCACCACTCTCTGAAACTGATGACGTAGTACGCAAAAACATGACGTTATTTTTCTTGTGCGTTAAAGAGTCCCTTGTTTTATGCTTTGTTTTATGGATAAATATTATACAATTGATCTCTAAAGTTTTATTTTGCGATATCTAGCTAGTTATAAGGGAGTATATAATAAATTTTATTATCATTATAACAGTAACTTGATCCGAAGAGCCGTATCACGTCTCGTTGACAGGCACGGATCATCAGATCAAGCTCGACGCTTCGCGTCTCGTTAGATCAGATGATCCGCGCCTGTCAACTCGACGTGATATGACCCTTCGGATCAAGTTACTGTTATAATAATATATATTTACTGCATGATGATATTAGCTTATTGAATCAACTTAGTGTAGGGTTAGGGTTAGTCCAAGGGTTAGGCTGCAAGGGTTAGGGTTAGCATTAGGGTTAGGGTGAGGAACTGGGTTAAACAGTAAAATATTTTGCTGTAATTGCTTAATAAGCAAGAGGACTAATAAGTTTTATTTTTTAGGACAACTCCTTCCAAAAAGTATAGATTAAGAACAAATGCTGGTGATGTGGTAACCTCCGTTGGAAACTTGGATAATATTAAGTGGCAAAGTAAAGGCAAGAATTGCACCATTAAATGGTATGATCCATTGAACAACTTATCCAAAGAGGACAATGAAAATCTAAAGGATCTGAATAAAAACTTCAAGTATATGTTTCAGAAGCTAACGGCCAAAGCTGCAGGTAATGATCTTCAGTGGAAATATCTTAATGCACTGTTGGGTCACCTTGGTGACATATTTTCTTCTTCAGAACCACTGGGCAATACTAAGATATTGATTTAAGGAGGCTAGGGGGTCAACAAATTATTTTTTTATTAACCACCAGATATAACTTAAATTTTGGAATATGAGATCTTAAGCTGTCAACTATCATTCGGCAAAGAAAAATTTCATAAATTTTAGTTTTAAAATTTGATCATTTTATTATATCTTTATATTTAGCTGCAATAATGTAGCCCTCTCCGATTTTTTTTTATCTGATGTTTTCTGGAGAGGGCTACAATTCCACAGCATCTCCTTAATGGTGCAAAAATATTTTTTAGATACGGGCGACTGCAGGCAGAATAAATTGTTTTTACATTCAACTTACTTCTAAAAAGACGAAATTTTTATTCACTGTCGACACCATAGCCCGTTAAACGCGAAAACCATGAAAAATAAATCTGTGTGCCTTATTCAGCAGCCATGACAGTTCACGCGTGAGGTACCGAGAGTTGAGCTTGAAATTTAGAATAACTCAATAAAGCAAATGTCGATGTTTATAAATAATTGTGATGAATAATAACACTAAACATCAATAAATAAAACCATTCCATGTGTTATTTTTTCGTAAACAGTGAAATTTCGCCTCAAAATAAGTAAATTCCAAAGAAATCCGCTCCGTATAGATCCTTAATCTCATTGGCTGTCCCAAAATAAAATCTGTCAAGGCCAGTAAACATGGCGGATAAGTTTAAGTTGTGATGTTGACATACACGAAAAATACGGATACATGGATTGTTCTGTATATTTTTGGATCGATTTATGTCTGGGATAACTACATTTTGGAACTCCAGGTAAGACATATTAATAAAATAGCAGTTTACTGACAATTTGAGCCGAAATCCGTGCGGGAGTGAATCGCTGCCGCATTGCACCATTACGAAGATCCTAAGGAGTTGTAGTTGTTTTCAAGGAATGAGGACACCCATGAATTTATGTACACCATGAAATGCAATTTTTCACATATATTACTACTGAACAATTCTTCAACCATGAAATAAAATCCCCATGAACCCATGAAATCAAATCCTCATGAACTAATATATTTTCCTCAAACCATGAAAATTTGACCCCTCAAAAATATGTGATTTTACAGTATTCAATTGCATCAACATTTTAACCCTAATCTTGTCTTTTACCTTATCTTCAATTTTCTCAAATTTATTGCTAGCTCAGTTATGAGAAATGTATAAGAATTTCATTATTTGATGAATTTTGATGAGTGCCATTGAATTTTTCCTTGACCTTTCCTTTTACTTTGACCACACTTTTTAGCTCACCTGAGCCAAAGGCTCAAGTGAGCTTTTCTGATCAAAATTTGTCCGTTGTCTGTCATTGTCGTCGTTGTCGTTGTAAACTTTTCACATTTTCATCTTCTTCTCAAGAACCACTGGGCCAATTTCAACCAAAATTGCTACAAAGTATCCTTGGGTAAAGGGGATTCAAGTTTGTTCAAATGAAGGGCCACGCCCTTTTCCAAGGGGAGATAATTATGAATTAGAGAAAAAATAATGGCATTATTAAAAAATCTTCTTCTCAAGAACCACTGGGCCAGGAAAAATGAAACTCATGTGGAATCATCCTCAGGTAGTGTAGATTCAAGTTTGTTCAAATCATGACCCCCGGGGGAAGGGGGGGGGGCAAAATGGCCGATCAAAGTTTCACATTGGAACATATAGGAAAAATCTTTAAAAATCTTCTTCTCGAGAACCACTGGGCCAGAAAAGATGAAACTCATGTGGAATCATCCTCAGGTAGTGTAGATTCAAGTTTGTTCAAATCATGACCCCCGGGGGTAGGGTGGGGCCAAAATGGCCGATCAAAGATTTACATAGGAACATATAGGAAAGTCTTTAAAAATCTTCTTCTCAAGAACAATTGGGCCAGGAAAGATGAAACTCATGTGGAATCATCCTCAGGTAGTGTAGATTCAAGTTTGTTCAAATCATGACCCCCGGGGGTAGGGTGGGGCCAAAATGAGAGATCAAAGTTTGATATAGGAATATATGGAAACATCTTTAAAAATTTTCTCCTCAAGAACCACTGGGCCAGGAAAAATGAAACCCATGTGGAATCATCCTCAGGTAGTGTAGATTCAAGTTTGTTCAAATCATGACCCCTGGGGGTAGAGTGGGGCCAAAATGGCCGATCAAAGTTTAACATAGGAATATATAGGAAAAATCTTTAAAAATCTTCTTCTCAAGAACCACTGGGCCAGGAAAGATGAAACTCAAGTGGAATCATCCTCAGGTAGTGTAGATTCAAGTTTGTTCAAATCATGACCCCCAGGGGTAGGGAAGGGCCAAAATGGCCGATCAAAGATTTACATAGGAATATATATAGGGAAACCTTTTAAAATCTTCTTTTCAAGTACTTCAAAGCCATTTATATTTATAGGGAATCATCCTCAGGTAGTGTAGATTCTAGTTTGTTCAAATCAAGCCCCCCCCCCCCCACCTCAGTAAACTTTCAGTTCTGATCTGATATTTGCTTTTCCCTAGCCAATTGCTCAGGTGAGCGATGTGGCCCCTGGGCCTATTGTCTTAAATTTGCACTTACTCAGTTTCAAAGATATTTTTAAAATACCAGTGACCTTTGACATTTCAATTTATTATAACCCCCTTCGAAGAAGGGAGGGCATATTGCTTTGCTGCGGTCTGTCAGTCTGTGTCGGTCCACCATTCTCCATTCATTTTCTTTGCAGTGGTTGCATATATTGAAATGAAATTTTGTATACAGATTGTTTTGGGTACAATCTGACCATTTTGGACAGAGTTATGCCCTTATGACTTAGAAAAATTCCAAAAATTAGCAGTTATCGTTCATTTTCTTCTTTTGGGTATGATTGGTCAATTTCAGACAGAGTTATGCCCCTTGGATTTAGAAAAATTCCAATAATTTGCAGTTTCTGTTCATTTTCTTCGCAGAGGTTGCACGTATTAAAATGAAATTTGATATACAGTTTTATCATAAGAACATCTAGATCAGGTGTTGTTTTGGGTACAATCAGGCCATTTTGGACAGAGCCCCTTGGACTTGGAAAAATTTGGGGGAGGGTGGCATAAGTGTTTTACAAATATCTCTTGTTTTTATGCAAAGAAAGTAAGCTATTTTTATCAAAATTTAAATTAAAGATTTAAATAATCTTTGAACACTATTACAAATTTCATGTCATATTATAGGTGAATCCTGAGTAATACATTGATGTCCTATGGACATAGTTTTAATGTATTTATTAATAACTACAGTTTGGGAGATCGGCATCAAGTATAAGAAATGGGGAAAAAACAGAAATCTTTTGTTTCAAGGATAATATGATTTCTTCCTTGCAATCTGTTTATGATAATCTAACAATATCTAATGGATGAAACGTGTGCCACAGAAGCAGTGCACTTTATTAAAATATCAAAAAAGTTTATTCTTTTACTTCAGAATTCTTAATAACAGTGAAAACTGAATGTAGAGTGAGTCTGAATGAATGGCGAGAGCATGGCGTAATGCAATATGAGTGAGCATGAAATGCTCTCTGAGTAGAAAGTTGTGTACAAATGATGGGCAAAAAAAAAAATGGGAATGTAGAAAGTCTCAAGGACTGTGATGGTAAAAATTACAATGGTGTTGTTTACAGTTTTAAATGAAATGATAGAAGAAATGGGAAAACAACTACAAGAGAAGAACAACATTGAGGAATTTTCCCATGTCTCTTTGCCAGTTCAGGTTCGTAAACAATTAGTTTAATAATTGTAGTATGCAGGATTAACTAGATAAATTATGAGTACATAAGTGTAGACTAAAGTTTGTTCATGACCCCATGGAGGTAGGGTTTAGCCACAATAGAGAACCATACTAACTGATATTTTGCTTTCTGTCTGAGATTAGTACATAACCATGATAACCCCTTTGTAGTATGAGACAATCTGCCAGATAAGTACGGAGAAAAAGAAAGTCCATCATGCCATGTGTGGTTTGCAGATTAATTATAGTAGATTAACTTTTAAGAGAATGTAATAAGTTAATTAAGAGAATGTAATAAATTTACAAGTGCATTTTCTTTATTGTAAATGAATACAATTTAGGGGAGGGGATACTCCATGTAATTTGAATTTAGATACTTTATGTTATAAAAATCAAAATTTTGGAGGGATCGATGCTCATCCCTAGAAGTGACAAGATTCAGAAAATATTTTGTGACTTTTAAATTTTGAGTAGCGATATGAACATTAAAGACACAATTTAGGTGCAAAAAATACTTTTAATGATGTGGAAAACCAACAAAGGGGGTATTTGTTCATTGTGAACAGTTCTATTTCAAGTTGGGGTAAGAACTTTTTGGGGAATAAAGGAACATTTTTCTAGAAAAAAAAATGAATAGAAGGCCAAGATAACATGTACATTGTAGCCCATAGGACTCAATTATTACACTGAGAAGTAGACCTTTGATACATTTCCTACAGGAAGAGGTGACTTTGGTTGGGAGAATTTGCTGTGATAGCCTTGGGAAGCTGAATGCCAAGTCTGTGATTCTGGAAGGTTCCAGAGAGACGTCTGCTGGCTGCTTCATTCCTTTGGACCTAACCGACCTCAAGCAGTACTCACTGTTTCCAGGGCAGGTAAGAATTCACTGGACCTAACCGACCTCAAGCAGTACTCCTTGTTTCCAGGGCAGGTAAGAATTCACTGGACCTAACCGACCTCAAGCAGTACTCAGTGTTTCCAGGGCAGGTAAGAATTCACTGGACCTAACCGACCTCATTCAAGCAATACTCACTGTTTCCAGGGCAGGTAAGAATTCACTGGACCTAACCGACCTCATTCAAGCAGTACTCACTGTTTCCAGGGCAGGTAAGAATTTACTGGACCTAACCGACTTCAGGCAGTACTCCTTGTTTCCAAGGCAGGTAAGAATTCTCTGAAGAAAGTCGAGCTAAAGGTGCAGTGATAGAGGCTAGGTGTAAGGGCTGTATGGCTCTGAAGGCAAGATCACTCTGTCCTGCACTATTACTGAAGGTGTGTATCACCCTCAAATTTCAAATCATTGTAATGCCCCCCTTTGAAGAAGGGAGGGCATATTGCTTTGCTGCTGTCTGCTGGTATGTCTGTCGGTCCACCAAGTTTCTGTTCCTTTTCTTCACAAAGGTTGCACATACTGAAATGAAATTTTTGACAGTTATGCTCTTGTGGACTTAGAAAAATTCCCATTTGTGGGGAGGGGGCATGAGTGTTTTACAAACATTTCTTGTTATATTTTATATTCCAAGATAAATAAATTGAACACATTATTTACATATATTTTCTCAATGGAAGTTAACAAGAGTGATTTCTGGTCACTGATACTGCATTGTATTTGAACATTTTACCTGGGGGTAAATGCCACGTACCAGATATTGAAAATTAAAACAGATAAGCTCAATATTTGCACCTTTATTCCATATAATTTTCACAAAGTCCAAAAACATTTTGCACTGGTATAGAGAGGGTCCTTAAAATCACATGATCAATGAGACTAAAGGCAGAATAGATTTGGTGTTTATGCACAGCTCGAAATGTGGGTAATGTGAGTCATTGACTTGTTGTTTGTGCAGCAAAATGGTAAATATTAAATCTTCACTTTAACTCTTGCTGAAATAATTTTTTTTAAACACATTTTTTGTTTTGTCTTTTAGGTAGTGGCATTGGAAGGAATAAACACTTCTGGACAGAAATTTGTTGTGAAAAAGTTATATGAGGTGAATGAAAAAAAGAAGAGATTTTTGAAAAATGGAAATTATTCTTTTAATGCACTAAGATTGTGACTCAGAAAAAAAATTGCCCTTCCACTCCCATCTTTGCTTAAGCCATGGGTTTCTGATATGATACTCTACTCTTAGAATCAGATGAGTGAACAGATTAAAGTTTTTGGTGCAGGTCTCATTTCCAAGTAGCTATAAACCCTATGTTGACCAAACTTGCATGGATGATGCATCTTAGGATGCATACTACCAGGCTTGCTTTAGATGCTGGATCTGACCTATATTTTCCAGATGAGTGAAGAGGTTAAAGTTTTTGGTGCAGATCTTATTTCTGAGTAGCTATAAGCCCTATGTTGATCAAACTTGCATGGGTGATACTTCTAAGGATGCATATAACCAGGGGTTGCCTTTGATGCTCAGACATGATTTTTTTTCGCTTTAAAGCGGAAATCCGCTATCCGGATTTATTATTTCCGCTCTAATTTTTCAAATCCGCTTTTATAGTAATTCGGATTTTTTTCCGTTACTAATTTGACTTTTACTTTCTTCAAAACACTTCCTTTATTTTTTTAACGTGTTCGGCTTATTCATTGGTTGACTTGTTGACTTTCTCAAATCAGAAGTCCGTTTATGTAACGATGGAGATAATGTTTAACAATGGTACAGCGATAACAATCAGATGTTCAGGCAATTGATAAGGGCCTTCGCAATTTTTGGAAGTGGGAATGGTTGGAAAAGGTCGTCAATAACGAGCCGATCTCAAAATACATCCGTAAATTAAACTTGAAAGGCATTGCTTTATGACAGTTCTGTAACAAACATGTCAGTTATGTGAGTAGGAGGTGGAAAAGTTTGGAAAAAAGTTTAAAAACAGAGACAGTTAGATATTCGTGTTAAAAATACTCAATCTAAGAGAAAGGCAAAAGAATTGATTGTCCATGCTGCCAAGAAAGCTAGACTGGGACATATTGTCAAAACCTTAAAAAAAATAAATAACTTCAATGTTTTTCATTGTAGTTTATTTCTCCAAAAAAGAAATATAATTAGACATTTTCAAGTTTATTTTTTACATTCAAAAATTAAATATGTGCTCTTAAATTCAGTTCTCAGGGGGCTTTTAAATGTTAAAATAACCATTTTCGGCGCACCTTTGATCAGGGGCACTGCCCCTTGAAACCCCGCTGGGGGAGGACCCCAAGACCCCCCTTCAGCTTTCTTCCCTTTTCTTTGGAATCATGTCTGTGATGCTGGATCTGACCTATATTTTCCAGATGAGTGAACAGGTTAAAGTTTTTTATGCAGGTCTCGTTTCCAAGTAGCTATAAGCCCTATGTTGACCAAACTTGCATGGGTGGTACTTCTAAAGATGCATATAACCAGGGGTTGCCTTTGATGCTGGATCTGACCTATATTTACCAGATGAGTGAACAGGTTAAAGGTTTTGATGCAGGTCTCATTTCCAAGTAGCTATAAGCCCTATGTTGAGCAAAATTGGATGGGTGATACATCTAAAGATGCATACTACCAGGCTTGCTACAAATGTTGGATCTGACCTATATTTTCCAGATGAGTAAACAGGTTCAAGTTTTTGGTGCAGATCTTATTTTTGAGTAACTTTAAACCAGGGGC